TAAAATGTAATTATGGTACCCCTCTCTCAGAGCTATTGAGGTTAAATAGGTTAAATGATTTAATACATGTAAGGAGGTTTTTAAATTTTTTTTTTAGTTGTATAATGCACACAATACCCTTATTTTACTTATATTTATGTGGTGCTGAGGATCGAACTCAGCACCTCACACGTGCTAGGTGAGCGCTCTACCGCTGAGCCACAACCCCAGCCCACATGTAAGGAGTTTAAGCAACAAATCATACCATTGAATTTTATTTTAAAACCTAGAAAAATATCATCATTTCTTGAGTCTCTGAAGACTTTTCTTTTTCAGTCTTTACCTTTAAAAGATAATTTAACAATAAAGATCATGACTCATGGGCTGGCGTTGTGGCTCAGTGTTAGAGTGCTCGCCTAGCATGTGCGAGACCCTGGATTCAATCCTCAGCACCCCATAAAAATAAATAAATAAAATAAAGATATTGTGTCCAACTAAAAAACGAATATTAAAAAAAGATCATGACTCATACAAATTAAAAATGAATACTATCAAAGGTTTTGTTATCTCCTTAATTAATGAGGGAACTAGTAAGATGTTGAAAGTATTTCACTTTTTTATTTTTTGGTATCAGGAATTAAACTTAACCACTGAGCTGTATCTCAGCCTTTTTATTTTTTATTTTGAGATAGGGTTTCGCTAAGTTGCTTGGGGTCTTGCTAAGTTGCTGAGGCTGGCTTTGAAATTGAGATCCTCCTGCCTTACCCTCCTGAGCTGCTGGGATAACAGGTGTGCATAAGTGTGCCTAGCTCATTGAAACTATTTCAAAGGGGACTTTAAGGAACCACACATATATAGGAATGAAGAATGATGAAATACATTTACAAATAGATGCATCCATCATTCTATCAGGCAGTTATGGATCATGTTCTACCAGACACAGTTTATTTGATTTTCTATGGACAAAAATCATTTGCATTATGTTAGTTTTCTAGAACTTATAGTTTTGCAAAATAGCTCAAAGACAATATGATGTAGAAATTGCCCCAAAAGATAATACTAAGAAGGAAATTTGGTTAAAAAAAAAGATTGAGTGCTTGGGGTAAAGGTAGGGGAGGATGATAAATGTTCTCAACTAAATGTCTGTTTCAAAGGTCTTAGCAGGAGAAGCTATTTAGGAGATAGGGATAGTCAATAGAATGATAATTTATGTTAGGAATGAGTAACCTTTTTTGCCCATTTCAAGGGGGCAATTTTTCCTAAGAGTTGCACCCCTTTCCTCCTTGGAATCATAGCAAACATTCAAAAGTGAAACTAATTTTTTACTTTCAAGGAGTAAAGAAATGTAATTTGGTTTTATTTCAATTAATGCACACTTTGTGTGTGTCAGAACATCAAATGCTGCATGTGATTGATGTTGGGCAAAGGTATGTTCGAAAAATAAGTTGAGGAAATAAATTATTTCCACAGAAAGAAAGAACAAAACAAAGTAACCATCCCCACAAAAGTTTTACAAATTGCTGAAATGCATATTATTCTCTTTACCAAGGAGAAATTTCTAGTGAAAGAACTCATTTACTGTCTATAAAATATTAACAATTAAAAAATGAGTATTTAATCAAATGCCAAAGATTTTTGTGAATAAATGTCTATTTTTCTTGCTGAAGCAAAAGCACTGAGGATCTATAGCAACAGGAAACGATTGAATCTGTTCTAATAAGGGTCTTTGAACTAAATTATTTTTGCCACTAAGAATACAATTAAGGGGTGGGGTTGTGGCTCAGTGATAGAGTGCTTGCCTAGCATGTGTGAGGCAATGGGTTCGATTCCCAGCACCACAATAAATAAAATAAAGATATTGTGTCCACCAAAAACTAAAAAGTGAATATTAAAAAAGAATACAATTAAAACCCACCCCTTAGGGAGTAATAACTAGCACTATCAAATTTCACGGTAAAAGAGATTTTGTTCAAGTCTTGTGATTGGGAGGGCTTCAGGGAAAATGACAGCACTGTAGTTAAACTAGGCTTCAGTTGATGTGAGGAGGAAGATTGTTTGGGGTAAAGGTAGGGGAAGATGATAAGTGTTCTCAACTAAATGTCTGTTTCAAAGGCCTTAGCAAGAGAAGCTATTTAGGATGTAGGGATGGTCAATAAAATGAGAATTTATGTTAGGAATGAGTAGGGTATGCCAGACTGGAATAAAAATAAAAGAAACAGTGCTAAGAAGGAAGAATAGAGTGGGGGAGGGGAAAGGAGATGGTACCTAGAGAGTAGGAATTTCAGGGCCGAAGAATCTATGTGGCTGGGCAAAATAGTTCTACCTCATATTTACATAACATTTTCTGGTTCATAAGTCATGTCTTATGCATCTGTGGCATTTAATTTTAATGCCAATAATTTTTGAACATAGGCTCATTTTCCTTGTTTTAGAAATGAAGAAACTGGGGATCAAAGAGATTTATTGATTTGCTAAAGCTTTTTAGTGCTTTGGTCAGCTTTTTCATTGCTCTGACAAAAAGGCCTGACAAGAACAATTTTAGAGGAGAAAAAGTTTATTTGGAGGCTCAAGGTTTCAGAGGTCTCAGTCCATAGATAGCTGGCTCCATTCCTCGGGGCTGGAGGTGAGGTGGGACATCACAGGGGAAGAATATGGCAGAGGGAAGCAGCTCACATGATGATCAGGAAGCAGAGAGAGAGACTCCACTTGCCAGATATAAAATATATACTCCAAAGGCACGTCCCCAGTGCCCACCTTCTCCAGCACACCCTACCTGCCTTCAGTTACCACTTGGTTAATCCCTATCAGGGGATTAATTCACTGATTGGGTGAATTAATCAATCAACTGATCAGCTCTCATGATCCAATCATTTCACCTATGAATATTCTTGCTTAGTCTCACACATGAGCTTTCGGGGGATACCTAATATCTAACCCATAACACTATGCTAGAAAGTTTAGAAAGAGTGAAGACTTGACCTAGGCATATTCTTCCATACCTACAGTGGTTTTAAATCTATACTATTTATACCTGTAGAATGATGCAAGGAAAGGGGCAGCCATTCTAAGATGTGTGCTGTTGCTCTTTTGTGAGGATCTGGCCAAATTCAACTCTGGTCCTAGTTGGAGATATCCATGGTGACTGATGCCAATTGGGGACTCCTGTAGTAGAGGAGATTTAATCTGTGTATGAGCCAGAACTTTTATTCAGCCTGAGAGGTGATAGAATACATTTCCAGCCTGGAGTGCAGCAAAGGGTTGACCAACTGGGTAGGTAGAATCAGTGTGCAGAAAAACTTTTCATTATTCTCTGAGTTAGATGTTAGTAGTGGGGTTCATTATTTTGTGGAAAGGTTTGTGGTCCCAAATTATCAATATTTAATTATGAAAAGGAAACCATTTTGTGGTTTGATAAAAACATTTAAATTATCCCTTGCTATAGATTACCTGATTGCCTCAATATAGGGTGTGTGTGTGTGTGTGTGTGTGTGTGTGTGTGTGTGTTGCTGGGGATTGAACCTAGGGCTTCACACATACTAAGTGGTATTCAACCACTGATCAACACCCCAGATCTCATTATAGATTTTTTTCTTCTTAATTTGCTAAAGAAGGCTTTCTCTGATGGGCTAGTGCTGGTCTGTGGCATTTCTCAAGTCATTACTTATTATCAGGCTCTAGACCTAGGCTGTCCAGTATTGGAACTGCCAGCCAGGTATACCTATCAAACACTTGAACTATAGCTAGTCCAAAATGAGATGCTTGCTAAGTGTAAAATACCAAATTTCTAAGGCAGTATAGAACAAATATTGATTATATTGAATTGTATTTTTGAAATTATATTTTCTTGGATATATTAGACAAAAATACATTATTAAAATTAAATTTACCTGTTTCTTTTTACTTTTTTGGTGAAGCTACTAGGAAACTTTAAGTCACATAAGGTTCATATTATTTTTCTATTTTCCAGGCTGCTGTAAAGGTAGATGAAGTCTATTTGTATAGTGTGAATTCAGTAAAGACCATAACATATCTCCAAGGAATTGTTTCACCTAGTTTGTAATTCCAATTAGAAATTCACTTATTTGTTTTCATTTAAATAAGTCTTTGCTACCAACGCCTTTCTAACTATTGTTACCACCAAAAATACAAGGAAATAAAGGGAAAAGTAACACATTTACCTTTAGATTTTTCTAGGTTTTTGGTTTCCTGAACCACCATTGCCTTTAGTCATATGGAACCACTTGCAGTTTACTGAAGTACTTTACCATGATTCTATTACTGTGCTTACTGCATACTTTGGTCTAAAGAATTCCTGCTTGTCCCTCAAAGCACAGCTCATTCACTATAACATACTTGGTCCTCTCCTGTGCTCCCACTGTGCCCATATTTGCCTCTTTCACAGAACATTTAGCACTGCACTACTGGTGTGGATATACTAATTTGCTACCCTTCAAGAGTGTAAGCTCCTGAGCATTTTTATTTCATATTGTATCTCCAGCACCTAACACAGTTATCTAATACTTAGTAAGTTTTTGGCAAATGTTTGTTGAGTTAATGGAAAGAAATCAAGTTGATGAATCTGAAGACACTCTTGGTTCGTTATTTTTCTGTTCCTGGTTTTCTTCCCATTCTTCTCACTCACCTTTTACATACAGTTTTACCTCATGGGATTGTTGGTATTTATGTAAGCACCTTAAGTAGAGTTCTGTTATTGTAATCTAGAAGCTATTTCTCAGGAAATAAAACATGGTGGGCAGATTGATTTAAAGCGCAGGACTTTTAGTTACTTGTAGGACATTCACAATAATGCAGGTCAGCAGTGTAATAGATGGGCATCTCTGGCAACCAGCACTACAAATTACTAAATGAAACCTCAACACGATTGTCCTTAGCAAAATTTCTAGTCAACCTGAAGTCTCCTGCTAGGAGAATGCTTTGTTTATAGAGATATTTATACTTTGTTTCTAGTGCTTTTTATTGTCTTATTTTTTGCTTGTTTTTGATTATGATTTAATTTTAGAATGAATAGGAACCGGATCAACAATGTCTTCTTTTTGAATGACCAGACTCTGGAATTTTTAAAAATTCCTTCTACTATTGCACCACCCATGGACCCACCTGTTCCCATCTGGATTATTATTTTTGGTGTGATATTTTGTATCGTCATAGTTGCAATTACGCTACTGGTCTTATCAGGGATCCGGCAACGAAGAAGGTAAGCTATTTAATGGGAATGAGTTAAGAAGTATTTGCTTATTTTCTCATGACTTAGAAAAATTAGATTTTCCTCTGGCTGAAGGTAATACCTTAAAGTTGAAAAAATGGTGATTTTTAAAATATCACTTATTCTTTCAGCTTTTTTGTTAAGAGTTCAGTGTCCTTTGCTTAATGAAGCTCCTTCCATTACTTACTTTCTTTCTATTCTATACCATATGAGTATTTCTTATCTGTGTTGTGATTTTCTAAGCTGGATACATGGAATGAAGCAGAGTTCAAGTAGATGGAGTTAATCTTTGGTAGTCATCCACATCCAGATACCAATAGTTCCACAATTCTTTGAATGTCTCCCTACCATGGCTTGCCTCTTCTGGGCCCAGGGCCTACAGGCCACCCTCTATGATATATAGAACTATGTTTCTCATGGTCTTTGAATCAACTCCCTATGTCAGAATCACCCAGAACACTTGTTTGAAATGTAGATTCCTTGGCCCTATCTCAGACTCACTAAATTAGAATTTCTGAAAAGGATTCGTTTCAATGAATATATATATAAGTTTTTCTAATTAGTTTAGAGCTTTCAATTTAACAACCTATATACAGGGTCCTACTTCTTGAGTTCATTCTGGATTCTGGGGCACTCAGAAACCTTGATGTCTAAATTACTGATATTGCTTCAAGAGGGAATTTCATTCCAGCAGGAGAGGTACTGAGGCAGTAGGAAGGAAAGTAGGCAGGATTTCCCAGCATGATGAAAGGAGAAAATGATTTTGTAAGTATCTCTAATCCAGGGGGAAAGATGGGAGATTCCTCGATTCTTCACTGAAACTTTAATACTTCTAAACCTTCCTTTCTGATACTAAGGAAGAGGAATTCTAGTAAGTGGGGATCACAGGAACATGACTTTCAAAAGGGGACATGAGGGATGTGTTTGGACAAATGTTTCGTCTAGATGCTTCTCCAAATGTTTACTACTTTCCATATGTTTTATCCTGGCTACTAACAGAGAGTACGCATTTTCAATCTTACATATTATAATTTTCCACAAACAATAAGTGAAATGTTATGGAATAAATGTGGCATATGTCTATACCTCAAATTAAATGCAAATATTAGAATCAAGTTGCACTTGCTTGCTTTTCTTAATGATTTTGACATGATATGTAATGCAAAAAGGCTTGTTACAAGGTATTTATTTGGTTTTTGTTTTTAGAATACTAAGTAACATTTTTTTGAAATGTTACTTAGTAACATTTCAAATAATGTTTCAAATAATGTTTGAAAACTATGTTTAACATTTTTAAATTTTGCGTTAATTATGAAATGCTATGGTTGGAAACCTAAGTGAATTTGCTTCATCTCCTTGGTTCCCAATTTTCTCACTAGCACCTCCTATAAGGTAGGAGTTAGAAGAATGGATTCTGGAGTTAGACTGCTTAGATTTAAAGTATTTATCTCTCAGATTCTGCCCTTGTATATAACCCATTAACTGTACAATACCAGGAAACACAAACAATGAGTCAGGGAAACTGAATTTGGGAGAATGTGGTTTGTGTTGCTAGAGCCAATCTGTTAAATTTATCTTTACTCTCTGTCCATAGATAACTTTTGTAGAGCAACAGCAAAGTGTACTGGAAATAATTAACTTGATAGGATAAAAGAATTAATACAGCACAGTGCTTAGAGTGGTATCTGCCACACAGTGGGTACTCAATAAATGTTAGCTATCACTATTATTTTATCATCTTGTCATTTTCTAGTCTTTCAGCTAGTTTGTGATGGGATCAGTTATCTTCTTCTGAGCAGATTCTACAGTAATATGATAATTGGGTATGTAGCATCATAATTTGTTGCCTGGGAGAAGTGAGGCTGTTGTTACAATCTTGCCTTCATAAATTCATTTCATGTTCAAACTAGGAAAACAGATGGACAATCTCTTGTGTAAACCTGGAGAGCATCAATAATTAGCAACTATAGTCAGGGCAATTATGACAACCTCCTGGAGATAAATTGTTTGTTGTGTTTTAGGTTTGACACAATCTGTGGTAGGTTTCCCTGGGTAAAATATTGCTTAAGAGATGAGGAGAGGGTACAATTTGAAGTGGAGATAGCCCTGATAGTTGTGATTAAAAACCCATTGTAGGGCTGGGGATGTGACTTAGTGGTTAAGTCACCCTGGGATCAATCCTTGGTACCAAAAAAAATTTTTTTTTCTTTAATCATGGAACCCAGTGCCCCATGCATGCCAGGCAAGCGCGCTACCGCTTGAGCCACATCCCCAACCCCAAGCCCTTAGTCTTTGAGGAAGACATCTAAAGAAATGTTTAACAATCCAATCTATACATTAGAAAATAATGAACATAGTTTGTATGGTCCAAATCTTAAACTTAGAAGACCTGGAGGGACCACAGGGTTATCTAAGTCACTGTTCTTCTTCTATGGAGAAGTGTACCAGAGTCATCTAAGATGTATGCATATTTAAACTTATCATTGAGGAAATGTCTCAAGCAAAGCTATAACAATTCTGCTGGTTTCATCAGTAACAGTATTATATTGATTATTCAGAACAACTGGGTAGAAAGTTTGGACTGCAGTCCAAACCAGGTATACTCAAATACCATCTGTGTCGTTTACATGTATGATCTTGATCAAGTTGCCTAATTTTTGTAAGTCTCAGTTTTTCCATCTGTAATATGGATATAATATCTCACAGGGCTTTCATGAGGATTGAACTATATAAATGTGTATAAAGTACCCAGGATATAGTATCAAGTATTAAATAATTAAATAGTTAAATAAGTAGCAATTATTATTATTATTCAGGATCAGCTTAACCCAGTGCTGTGATTAAGGGGCTCTAGGAAAGGATTTTTTTCCCACATAGATATTGCCATCATACTATAGAAAATTTTCCAGTTCACTGAAACAGTGCCTAGAATTTTATTAGTTAGCAAACAAGCATTTTACTAAAGTATAGTTGAGAAATAAAATTGTATATATTTATGGTATACAGGATAATGTTTTGATGTATTATGAAATGCTTAAATCAAGCTAATTAATGTATCCATTACCTCACATACTTATCATGTTTTGTGATGAGAACTTTTAATATCTACTGTCTTGGCAATTTTGTTAAGTATACAATAGATTATTGTTAACTATAGTCACCATGCTATACAATAGATCTCCCAGACTTATTCATTTTATCTATCTGAAACTTTATATCCTTTGACCAACATCGCCCCATCCCCCCATCCCTAACCCTCCAGCCCCTGGCAACTATCATTCTACTCTCTGCATCTATAAGTTGGACTTTCTTTAGATTCTCATGTATGTGAGATTATGTGGCATTTATCTTTCTGTGCCTGGCTTATTTCATTTAGTATAACTTCCCCTAAGTTCATACACATTGCAAAGGACATGGCTTTCTTTTATACAGGCTGAATAGTATTCCATTGTGTGTGTGTGTGTGTGTGTGTGTGTGTGTGTGTATCACATTGTCTTCATCCATTCACCCACTGATTGCATATTTTGGCTATTGTGAATAATGCTGCAATGAACATGGGAGTGTGGACATTCCTTCAGCATACTGATTTCATTTCCTCAGAATATATACCAGAAGTGGAATTGCTGGATCATATGGTAGTTCTGTTTTTAATTTTTTCAGGAAGACCCATACTTTTTTCCATAATGACTGTACTAATTTACATTCCTACCAACAATGTACAGTGATCCCTTTTTTCCATATCTTGGCCAACACTTGCTATCTTTCCTCTTTTTGGTAAATAGCCACCATAATATGTGAGGTGATATCTCATTGTCATTTTATATTTGCATTACTCTGATGATTAGTGATGTCAAACATTTGTGGGGGGGGGGGTACTAGGATTGAACCCAGAGGCACTTTACCACTAAATACTTCCCCAGACCTTTTTATTTTTTTATTTTGAGACAGGGTCTTACTAAGTTGCTTAGGAGCTCACTAAATTGCTGAGGCTGGCCTTGAACTTGTAATCCTCCTGCCTCAGCCTCTGTAGTCACTGGGATTGCAAGCGTGTGCCACCACACCTGGCTGAGCACTTTTTTCATATAACTGTTGGCCTTTGTATGTCTTCTTTTGGAAATTATCTATTCAGTTTCTTTATCCGTTTTAAATTAAGTTATTTGTTTTCTTGCTGTTGAGTTCCTTATATATTTTGGATATTAGCCCTCTAAGAGATATATTGTTTACAAATCTTTTCTTCAAGTCCACAGGTTGTTTCTTCACTCTGTTGATTGCTTCCTTTGCTGTGCAAAAGGTTTGTAGTTTGACATAATCTCATTTGTCTATTTTTGCTTTTATTACCTGTACTTTTGGGGTCATATTAAAAAATTCATTGCCCAAACAATTGTCATAGAGATTTCTCCTTAAGTTTTCTTCTAATAGTTTTACAATAGTTTTCTTTCTAATAGTTTCTAATACTTTTACATTTAAGACTTTAACCCATTTTGAGATGGTTTTTGTATTTGGTGTGCAATTATAGCCCAATTTAATTATTTTGCATTTGGATAGCCAATTTTCCCAACATTGTTTATTCAAGACCCTGTTCTTTCCCCATTGTGTGTCCTTAGCACCTTTGTTGAACATCAGTTGACCATAAATGTGTGGTTTTATTTTTGTGCTTGCTAGTCTGTTCCATCGGTCTATGTGTCTGTTTTGATGCAAATACCATAAAAAATAAATACATGTCTAAAAATGCAAATGATCCATGAGGTATACTGGTCATTAGAGTAGTGATGAACTGGTTAACAAGCTCTCTCAGGAATCTATGTTTATTTGTAGCATTTTCCAATTTCCTATCAAGGCCAAAACATTCTGAATATTTAGCAGGCAGCCCTTGCTGTCCTATACTTGCCAGCTCCAGCACACCATTACAATTGTCACCTCTTTTGAAACAACTTGAGGAGGTTGCTTCTCTAGTAACATCTAATTGAAAATAGAAGTTTGTGAGAAAAGAT